TTTATACCGGAAATTAACAAACAAGCAGATGAGTAACAATATATCGTAAACACTGAAGAAAAGCAAACCTATTCTTTACTGTAATTTCATTGAAATAATATGTATCACATATAAATCTGAATTATAACATTTATCTATTGAGTATATTTTGTACAGAAATATAATAATATATCATAAAAAAACTTTTTTTTTTCCTCAATACATAAGTATAGGCTATCATAAAGCAAAATATAAAAAAAACTGACTGTTTTAGGCCATTTCCAAAACAAAGTCTGAGGGCAAAGTTTTGACCTTCAAATGCACCCAAACAAAATGGCCACCAGAAAGGAGCAGCACCATTATTCGACGGTGGTAATGATATTTAATTTGATTAAACTAGTGGCTTGCAACTCTACCACAAGGTACTTGAATGCATGTTGCAAATGTAAGAAGTCTCGTCTACTGTGTACAGCAGTTTATACTTGATTTTGCTTGAAAACTGAGATAAAGACTTAACAAAGCTCTTCAGTAATCTCTCCCATTTGTTATCTCCAGTTGACATGTGTATTAAGGGTATTTTTTTCATATAAGACTAAAAATACTTAGTTTGCAATGCAGTATTGAAAAGAACAGTTGAATTTTTCTTTTTATGTGAAAGACTGTTTACATGTGTTCTTAATGTAGATTAAAGAGTTCTGATACTGTAACTAGAGATATCTTGTCAAAGCTTTGTAGCTAATTTTTAACTTTTAATAATGCTGGCTGAGCATTCGTTCATTTCATTTTTCTGTACAAAATTGTGCAACATATTGTATACAGTGGACAAACTTCTTACATTTGCAATGAACAGTCAAGCATCTTGTGATGCAGTTGCAAGCTACCAGTTCTATACAAGATATTTGGAATGGGAGCTAGAGACATAAGGATGGACAAAAGTGACGTCTCTTCCAATCTCCACTCCATGGTCTTAGGATGATGCAGCTCTGGGTATTGTATGTGTGCTTGTCACTACACTGCTGCTTGATAGTATGTATGTTTGACATGAAAGGACAAGGCATCATATGTCAGTGGATGGGTTTCTGGTGAATGGGATTTGACAAACAAGACTGAAGTGCCTTGCTCACAGTGGTGGTATTTGACACACTTTGGACTTTGCAGATGAACATTTCTGCATTCTTGGCAGTTTGGCCATCTAGGTCATTCTCACCTAGGCATTTGATTAGATTGTGATTTCTTGCTATGCCCAGCCAAGTATGAGATGGTGTCACTACCAGTCAGAATATAAAATGCAGGCCTGATTTCCAGCACAGTTTGTTGCTCTACAATAGTGTGATATATTGCCTCTTCTTGGCTGTCTAGTCTTGATCCAAAGTTTGGAATATGACATCTTGTGAAAATAAGCTAAAACCAACACCAGGTCATCTTTATCCTGTGCAGTTACCACAGTATTTGCTGTCTGACTCTCTACACAGTGGAGAATAATCCTAATGTTAGGATTCTAATTTCTCAGTGTCTACTTCTGAGTCTATCCTCTCTTTTGTTTTCATAAGATTTATGCAATTAATATATGACACAGTGATTCTGCTACTGG